CTCACTGATTTGCAAGGAGCCACTAGGCTGCTTCACAGCCGCAACTCTACCCCCCTGATAGAACCCCGCTTTGCAACCAAGCCACAAAGGACGATAATCGGTTCGTACTATAAGGCTTCCAATCCACGGTTCCATATGCAGTTCGTGGTCAATTTATAGCCATCGTTTGGGTAACACCCGCGATTTGGAGTGCGGTCTCGCCCAAGACAGGATGGAAAAATGCCCAAGCTGTGTTATAGTTCCTGGTTTTAAGGACTATTGGAGCGTCCACCTGATAAAGTATAGTCATATGCTACAGTAAGGTAGTTGAGGATCGTTTGGCCCCTAGTTTAACCCGGATATCGAGTTGATGAACGACAGATACCAAGTACTCCGTATAATACCGGAGAATATCGAATCCTTTTCACTCACTCAGAATTAACGTGACACTCAGAGCAATGCATGTCGAGATGCGGCACCTTTAAGACAGGGATTAATGTAGATTAAATCATCCCCGGACACCTAATCGATACTACATAATTGAAATATTCATAGTTGTGTTCAAGCTAGGTCCAAGCAGCACACCCATGTAAAGAGAACATCGTCCTAGTCCCTTTCAAGCTGGTCCAGAGAACGCACAGCTCGTAAGGACTCTCGATATGTCCCAAGTCATGATATCACTCCCGTTCTTTGAGATAGGAATGGAATCGGCTATAGCCTCTTATGAAGTGGGGTCGAAACATTACTGGCGTGGGTTACATCGCTCAACGTTCATTGTTCAGCAACACGTGGTTGTTTGCCTTCATAGCGGGGCCGCAAGGTGGTGTTACATACTCCCACCAAAAACGCTAGCGGACGTACCGACAGAAAATAGAATCTGGATGGCTGGATTGAAGGTGTGTCCCTATATCCAGGGCCCAAGATCACCCAAGTAGGTAATCACGGTGTAGTCGGGTTCGATGGCAGACGGCTCCTCGCTCTGCAGACCAATATGCTCCGGCTCCACGACCACGAAATGGGGACTGTAGATATCGAACCATATGTGCAATGTTCTAGAAGTCTGTTGCGTTCGGCATCGGTATCTATCTGCGTCGAGTATGGCATTCGAAGGTGATGTACCGGTCCTGTTTCCGTGCTATAACAGGACTCATCCGAGTATTAGCGGCGAGGTGATAAGAAACAGGGTTCATCCATGATCTTTAAAGAGACTAACGGTGAAGCTATTTCTGGGACCAGAACTGCCAGGAAACAGTACTGGACGAGGTATGCATATGCCGGTCTGATATATATTTCGCATTCACAACCAGAATTGCTAGCGGCTCTCATGACTATAGTATATTTTCTTTCCCACATGGTGGACTTTGTTATGTTTGAAGTGCTTATATGTTTATCTCGACGCTATAATAACATAGGGGACGAAAGAAACTAGTATTAAAGCGTTGTCTAGGAGTGATACCGGCGACGCAGGCACACAGACATCTCATAACGACGTGTGGAGAGAACATATCTGGAGGTTCGGCTATGAAAGCATGTTCATAGCTTGTATGTTAATGTCATGCGACGTCAAAGCGTCAAAATCTGCCGGTTAGTGGGTGTTGATACAAATAGCGGCGGAATTCCATGCTGTAGAGTTGTAGTCACAATGGAGTCCATTCGAATGCCACGCGATGCAATACCTACCTTTCTTTCTAAACCCAAGTACAGATATTTTTGGGTAGTTAGCCGAACCGCAAAGGCTCTCTGGGACGATGTCACTTGAATATCTCGTATTATCCATGCACTTTACGTGTAGTCGTACCTAGTGGACTTGCGACTGCTTGCCCAATCCGCAGGCCGTTCCTCGATCCCGAGGGGCGGGGTAAGCGATGAAAGGAGGGGTAAGTCGAAAAAGGTGGGGAGGGGGATGTTGTACCGGAGCTCAATACGACCCGTGCACGTGGGTCGTGCGCCTGTCATCTCCCTTCTCAGATACCCCACAACTTACGGGTAGCCACGTTTTAACTGTTTAGAGGGTGGCTGGTGAGTGGCTGCTGGGTAAGGTACACAGCAACGGTTAGGTAATTACGTACTCGTATCAGTATCCAGAATCAACACGTCGTGTCGCGCCAACGTTAAACTCTCTTCGGAATCCGGGGGAGAACGTTCCATAAAGCTTCCAGATAGGTCTTAATCATTGCAGCATCGATACAGCGAGGACCCTGGAAGCGAGTCGTTTTGCTTTCCCTCCCCAGCAATTTTCGACAAACTCGCTTACGCGAGATACAAAGTTATGGCAGTTAGCTAAGCGAGCGACTTGGAAAGTGACGCTAACGTGTTACCTACGTGCTTGTGGCAGGTGGTCACGTTCACAATTACCATGTTCAGATTTCCCTTATGGTATTCTACGTAAGGTACATATGAGACAGTGATGTTTACCATTCATTAGGTCATCTTCACATGGGATTGTGACGTCTTGAGCAAGATATGCCTAGGTAAGTGTACAAGTAAGAAAATATGCAGTGCGTGCAAGGAAGATCATAAGAGTAGGGAAATCTAATGCCACCACTAATTCGCGAGCCGAGTTTGAAAGGCGGGTGGGTGTGGGAGTATGCATGTGGTTGACCCAAGGCAGACTGGTGCGGTGCACTAATTCCAGCCACATCGTCAACGTCGCATTGCAGGCGCGCGATCACACGTCCATTCGAGCACACATCGATTCACTTTGTAAACCATTGGGCGGTATCTAATATCATTCTTGCTGTATGGAGTAGGTACTGCAGAAAGCAGTCGGTCGTGGGACTTTGGTCCTAGTCGAGAGTGACTGATCTGTTGCCACGACGCCCTTTGACAACCTTGGCCTGTCTGTTAGCAAAGACCCGGGAGGACACTCCCGAGTCGACGAACCGGCATCGACGCCGTATGCCGCACTCCACCACCGCCCCCCCCCCCATCACCCGGATCGGTATCATGTTTTCCCGTTCTTTATCCATTTAATACTAGTGTCGGTTTCCCTGGCCCGCCCTTGGCTAACTCAATTATCCAAATTGAATACCGCAGAGAACCGCAGAGACTGGGAGCTTTAAGGTTCTCGAACCCACCTCGCCTACAACGTACCTAGGTGGTGGATTATTTCAAGACGCTACTCAACGCATTTGTCCTGTGGTTTAATATACTATGTAGTCTATGTTGTATTCTCTCTACTCCCGACTGTTGGCGGCGATCCTCGACCGCGAACTTGACCAAAGTGGTTGACGGCATGCGAGTCTCCCACCCATCTCACCTGGAAGACATGTCGCTTAAGGTCGCCGAGATCGCCGACCATGCGCCGGCCATATAGCATGTGGCTAAGTAATTGCATACGCCGGTCCTGATAAGACACTATTCTCACCCAACTTCCGAGTTTCCAGCCTCGAGAATCGCATTTTTATTCCCGGTGACTTATAAGTTATGATATATCCGTTTTCATCATAGCAGCACGCCCCTAATCGCGAGTTCTACATATCGGTGCACGATGCGTGCAGTTATCTATATACCGTATTATATACCGTGCCTATAAGGGGTTATTTTCAGTGATCATTTTGGAATCAGTATCTAAGATCCATGATCTCCGATCGCGAGCACGGACTTGAAAAGCCACATGAGTACAACGATCAAGCCCAACTCTGCTGCACTGTCTCTTAACAACCCTGACGCCCAAAACCGAGTTGGGGGGATTTTAGATCTACTAGTGAATGAGATGCACAGTTGAGATATTTTTTTTCCCTTGCAGGGGCAATCAGAAGTGTGTACGTTGTATCCGTAGTGAAGTGTTGTAGTGGAGTGTGAGGTACCTTATTGAGGGGGAGTGCGCGAGGATAATGGTGTGGTACCCCATACCCCGATTCTCCTTGAATGGGGAAACGAAGAATCCGCACAGTCTCCCATTAGCTTCCGTTGCGGAGGTATTTGATAGGGGCACACCGTTTAGGGTCCGAGCAGTAGAGAGGGCTTGGGGAACATATGCTCCCGCACGGAGTACTTCGTATCATTGCTACGGCATATCAAGGCAACCTCGGAGAGACCGTAGCCCACGTTGTGGTGTTCAAACACGGAATGAGATATTAACAGTCCGATATAGGTAACTGCAACGTCAAAACGCGTTCCTTGCATCTTCTTTACGTTGTAATAAGATATCATTGCCGGAGGTGTGGGACAATCATGGTGGTGGTGGTTATGATGCCGTGAATGTGGTTCCTGTCCGGAGAGGTCTTGGTGTACCTTAGGAAGCAATTATTACCCAAGGTAAGTATGTACCTACATTGTACTGAGTGCAGGTGCGCTATCCGTACGCTGTAGCCCCCGGTAGCCTGTTATACCCCTTTTCTAGAAGCTGAAGTGCAGACAGAACCCCTTCCAATCGGTGCCGAAGCATCACGAAGTAATAGATTGCGGTTACATTGGCTAGCGCTATTCAACACACGTGTTTTGCTGCAACAGAACCAAGATCTGCAAAGGATTTTTCCTACTCCGTACTACCCGCACGAAACAACATGATCTGCCAAAGATCGTAGCACTCGCTGTACGAAGTCATGGCACCACCTTGACTGCAGCAGTCGCCGACTTAAGCATGGGGCGTGGAGTATTATGGGATTACCTTGGGGGTTGCGGTAGAAGTCGGTCGGTTTTACATAGTACATCCGCATAGGGAGCTCTAAGTTGCGACGACCCCAGGCACCCTGTAAGTACTCCGTACACACCACCACGAAGCTTGCACTGCAGAAAAACATACATATTTCATCACTTATTTCATCACTTCTCCTTTTCACCAACCCGTCCCATCATGGCATATACGGCTAGGGCATCTCAGTCTTTCTTTCACCACCTTCTCGATTAAGAATCGGAGTGCGTGGGTGATGGCAATAATCGCAGACGGCATGAGATGAAAACGAAAGGCCGAAAAGGCGAGTTCTTAGCTGCACCTTACTAAGGTACGCACTTTCAACTCTCTCGGCCGAAGAGATGTCGACATCCACTCACCGTTCCCCGTGCAGTACTTAGGTAGGTACATATGTAATTACCTGCATCCCGCGATAATATGCCCCTGGTCTGCCCGTCTCCTTCCCGCTAGGGCATATCTCTGTAATTACAGCAACGCACCCATGCCTCACGTTCTTCGCAATTCGTCAGGCTCGCAAGGTAATTCGTTCATCCTCAGTCGATTATGCAGATAGGCTCAATACTCCACTACTCCGTAGACCAATTATCCGACAGTACACCACAGGAGCAAGTGTCCCTGCCGCGCTATTCTCCGGGTTCGAAAAAAAAAATCGAAAAAATAAATAAATCCAAGAACCGCAATCAGAAATCTCCATCCCCATCACCGCAATCAGAAACCTACAACCCCATCACCGCACTCCTTCGCCCGGCCTTGCCGCGTGCACAGCTCCGTGAGAAATCGCCGAATGAGCCACAACCCCCACTTTTTTCTTCTAGTAGGTGATGGAAGTGACGCCCTTGACGTCGCCGTGGATCACGTTGTGGTAGAGCCACAACCCAACGTCATCCCTGCTTATGGTATATCCGACTGCCGGCATGTCGTCGCCGAGACCGACCCGGATTTGCTCCAGCGACGTGGTCGAACCATTGGTTAGCATGCTAGGACGGCAAATGACTGAGCTGGCCGTCAGCCGCTCGGCCGCAGACCGTCCCGCGTCTTCGAGGACCGCCGCCTCCATCTTGGTCTTGTCCGCCATGGGGATCTGAAACATCGCGGTCAGTAATTATCCGTCTAGGGAAGGTCGAAGGGGACCCCCCCGAGGGTCAAGATGCCAGGAAGGGGGGAAGAGAGAAACGAACCTGAAGGAGAACCCAGTACAGCGGCCGCATAAGATGCGGGACGTCACGGGTTTGGCTGAGGCCTGTGGTGCTGATCACGCAGAAACGGGGTTTTTTCGCGTCAGCGACGCCCTTGAGGGATGCTAGGCCTTCGAGAATGGTCTTCGTGCCGTTCTCGCAGATGTGAGGGTCTTCCAACGTCGGGCCCCGCCAGGTGAACTGCGGGACACCGCCTATGCCGCTAATGATAACATCGACCGGATTCCCATTCAGCTCCGACGGGAAGAGCACATTTCGGACGGCAGCGACATCCTTGACGTCTCCCGTGACGATGTTCAGTCGTGATTTGATGGCGTCCTCGGGGACTTTGCGCGTCGAGAGCTTCTCGCGGAGTTTGGATTCATTTCGGACGACTTAATCCTCCTCGCGTTGTCAGTATTTGCAGATTGCGCGAGATGAAGACTCCACGCGAAAACGGAACAAGAAGCGCTTGTAACTGCGGGGGAGGGGGGTTGAGGGGAATAGGCGTGAAGGGGAGCTTTTGTGAGACCCACGTGCGTGACATTTCAAACGAGCATCCTGGATAGCAAGGTCGAGGGCGGCCAACGTGCAGCCGCCTGTTGCGCCGAAGAAGGCAACATGCTTGATAGCGGCGGTTGTCATGATGCCAAAAACGGGTTGGAGAAGTGATTATACGTGACGAGAAGCCGGCAAGTCAAGGTGAGAGAGCTCGTGATCAAGGCCGAGAAGCCGGAGTTTCTTTTGAGTAGAGACAAGGGCGAATCGTACCGTGCTTCGTCCTGTCACAGGGTAATGGAGACAAGAAACCAGAAAAATATGAAAAATGGAAAGAAAGAATCAAACTGTTGATGGAAAAGCGAGACAGAACAACGGCGTCATGGCTTTACAAATGGGATTTATGATCTACGAGGCAGTCAAATATCTCGGTAAGCCCAATGTCCGTCTAGAAAGGGTCTGTGGCGTTTACCTCCAGGCTTCCATGAAGCAAGCTTTGGGTCATATTGCGACTGCGACTATACGGTACTATTTTTATCGCAACGTACCTTACCTAAGGTAGGTAAGAAAGGATGGTACCGGAGGTAGGGTATGAGCTCCTCAGCTCCGGCGCGCCATGGGGATATCGAGTGGCGCAGCATAGCTTCTTGCCGGTATCCGTGCCCGACCGGTCCCTGAGATACTGATACCTCAAGGTAGGTACGGAGTAATTACCGGACATAAAGTATGTAGTCACGATCTTTCGGCCGGTCTCTTCCTGTTGAAGACCGCCAGCGCCGTCCGAAGCCTACATAAGAGCAGTCATCAATGCCTTTTTTTTTCTTTTTCTTTTTTCGATGTCTCGGCCGTTTTATCGAGTCTGAGACATTTCGTCGGCGAGCCCCGGGTATCCCTAGGTTTCTGCAGGTAAGCAAGCAGCAAATACTACGCCTTCCATTCACCCCAGAATTGCGCTATCAAGTATTGATTTCGTGCTAGTGGTCGAGTCAGGTAGGTTATCCGGCGAATAGCGGAACAGTTGAGTGAGTGTTTGTAAGGTACCATGTCAGAGAATTCAGAGAATCAGTATCCATGGAACCGAAAACGTGCAAAACGTGGCGATTGATGGCAAAAGCCATGCGAGCTATCTAGCTCGACCCCACGAGCACTAAGCTATCGGAGTGACATCGTATGCCGTCTTGGCTCCCCACGCCCTTCCTTCTTGGGTAGGTGGTTACCTTGATGGTCGGGACTCGGGGGTGTGTGCGTTGAGGAGTGGAGAAGAAGAGTGATGCCCGCCTCTTCGAGGAGAAGGACGCGATAGCCTAAAGGGACCATGATGCTCATGAGCACGTGGTGGCTGATCTCTTGCCAGGGGACTGGTGTCATGGAATGGGGGGAAAAAGG